ATATATATATATATATATACGATCACTTTGCATATAAATTTATTAAAAGAGAAATAAAATGAGCAAATATTTTGTTCTTTTATTCGCTGTATATATTATATATATCAGTAATGTATATTCAATGTGCAGATATTGCTGTGTGAAAAATTAGTCAATGCATCAATATTAATGTGATTTGAGATATGTTATGATGTTGCAAATTTTGTGCAAATACTTGCTACATGTTTCAGCAACTTATAAATTGTATATGTATAATGCTCTACTAAGGTAAATACAATTTACATAATATTTGTCACGATCTCTATATTAATACAAATTAAATCATAGTAAAAATTCTAATCATTAATATTATTAGAATCTAAAAAGAATTTTTACCTCTTGATATTATATAAATCTTCAACAATTTAACTTCAGGATTACTATTTTTAATATATATATATACACACACTCGGTTATTAAGTAGAAAAATCACCTTTCGACATTATTTCCATTTTTTTAAATAAATTGTTAGTATCCTCAAACATCAACGAGAATCTGAGAATCTAGCTTATTAAGTAGGAGAGCAACTCGTAATTATGAATAATTTTTTTTTAGGTCTGTGGTATTCTGTGTGTCTTATGTATCTGGTATTTTGTATCATAGGAAACAGGTACAATGTATTAGGTAACTCAATTTCCTGTGCGATACAATCCATAAGATTTCTTATGCTACTTCGCTTAGTGCTCCATAATAACGATCAAAGTACATTTCTTATCATACTTGTAAGTTATATATAAAATGTTTCACTGGCAGATATTATCCTTTCTTCTTATTTTTATAACACCTACATAGAAAACTAAATCAATATCCTACAGCCTCTCAATAATGTATGAAATAAAAGGAAAAGCTGTTCAGAGCAAGTGCTGCACATAAATATCAAGCAAATCGTACTGTAACTGTTGCAAAAGACAAGCAAATCTATTTTTGTGTCGACAAGAACTAACTTGCGATATTTAAACCCCAGATTATCATTTATAACTATCTACTTGCATTTATCAGAAGCATATCCAATCTAGTTGCATTAATCTTCCTTGATGTATTTGTCTATGAAATTCTTTATAAAACACAGTGCTATTTTCTTATATTGAATTAGATTTGTATATAAACAAATTTTTGTTTATATCATTGAACTAATAATCCCACTGAAACTTCGATTATTACGCAAGCTGACAAGGCCTGAACCGAATCTGGACCTGGGCCTGTCAATTATCAAATGACCGCTTTATCAATTAGCAACTTAGCAGCCACAGATGCATTACTATTTTAAAAATAATATATAGCAATTGTGCTATATTTTAGATGTGAGGATAACTTTCAGTTAATATAATTTGGAGGATCAACTAGGCTACTATAACAAATGCATTTGTCGTATGCAAAAGTTACTATGCTGTAGTTGTGTTAAAATCATAAAGGAATCATATTTGCATTATGCCATCAACATCTTCAGACAATTGCGATTAAATAATATGTAACAGAGAAAAGTTTTCCATGCTAACTGCAAACTCTAAGAAATGCAAAAATATACTATGCAGCGCGTGGTGAGAAATTCTTTGTATTTTTGACAATGGACAATGAAATGTTCAATTGCTAATAAAGAAAAAAAAATTCAAAAACCACCTACTTTCTTCTTATTAAACCATTAAAAACTTGTTTCATTTACTACTAATCATAAATTAAATTACAATCTTATTGAAATAATAAAATATATGTACGCTATAATCCATAGATTGATATAATTTTTCCTTCTAATCGTTGTCAACTGAGTTGTGTACATTGAGTCATCACATAAAGCATTCGTAATCAGTATTACAATATAAATATCGTGTTACTGACATATATCGAGATATCAAAAGTCATACATACATACATACATACATATATATGTATGTATATATATATATATGTATGTATGTATGTATGTATGTATGTATATATGTATGTATGTATGTATATAAGTATATGCCTAATCTCTAACAATGTAAATTAATTTCACGTGCGTATCTACACCATGCTACTTAAAACGCATTCCTATTTTTCAAAATACGTGTATTCGTAAATAAATTCGCTTACATCTTTGCTTATCCATCTTATTAAGCAGTTCATCAGCATAGTCATTAACCTGCTGGACGCTCTGAAGACATCGTTCTCTCATCGTTCCTTGACAGCTCGTTCACTCGGAAGGCGCGACACCATCTCCGAAGCTGCAATAATGTATGTATGTATGTATATGTATATATATTTTTTTACCTAAAATTAAATGACAGTAATAAATATAAGTATCTCTTAGAAAAAACATGTGATGCTGATTTTTTACAACCAACTTGTTTCTGTCAGGTGAATATATCACCTTAATGAAAAATGTATTATATTTACATAATAATGTACAACTATTACACGCGCGATTCTACACACGAGTGAAGACTGACATAATAGTTTTTTTTTTCTTCTTTTTCATATTATCTATATTATTATTATTTAGTGCATCATTTTATGAAGTTTCAGAATCTTTCCCAGACGCTGCTTCGCCGTTTTCATTCCCTTCTTCGGCTTTCGTTCTGAAAATTTATAAATATAGCATTTTCTTTACTATTATCAATCAGCTATAATTTATAATGCACAAGTTTTTAAATTAGTACAAAAAAAGAAAAAGAAATGCGTAAATATAAAAATTGATACTTTACCAATGGGAACCGGTGCTGCAAGTTTGGCTTTAACATCTCTAAGTCTATTGGGGCTAGTCAATATTGATCCAAATCCGATGGATGATTTTATAACATTTTCAGAAGCTGTAGTGGACGATGTAGTCCCCACTGCAGCGACCACAGGATCCTTTTGTTTCTTTTTGTTATATGTCCGTTTGTTGGTACCCTATTACATGTGTAAAATGTAATTTACATCATTAGGTTTTTTTTTTTTTTTGTAATAACAGCATAGAAGGGGAAATAATTAATGAACACAAAAAGAAAGACATACAGAATGAGTTATCAACAAAAATATTTAAGTATATTCTGTGACTTGATCGTAGATTAATGCTGGCAAACTATGTTTGACAATCACTATATGTGTGCAATAGAAAGAAAATGGAAACTAACATTAATTGATAACGTTAAAGTGACAAATAATTTAAAATAGAAAAATGATAAAAACATATTCACAAAAATTACGAATTAAAAACTATCATTGCAATTACAAAAAACATAATTGTAAAACTACAAAATATGTACAATCCGAAAATTATAGAAAAGTATAGCATTACAGAATTTTAAATATTAAACTGCAAAAATCGAATTATGCCTACCAATTTCTTCTTGGTAATCTTGTCCATGTCGTTATCCAGGTATTCATCCTATATAAAATGTATGCAAGAAACATGGAATTATGATGTTTAAGGAGAGTTATGAATGATAAGACATTTATTATTATTATATACACAATGATATAAAAAAAAGTTTTATATCACACACATATATACACACATACACATTGAATATATGTTTATTAACTGAACTAATGTGTACTAGATTAATTTAATGATATATTTAATGATATTGGGAGAAAAAAGTTTAATATATTTATGCAAGTGTAGGATGCACAAATAATAATTATGCACAGAATAAAATGAAATATGAACAAAATAACAATTAATTTACCGATTGTTTTGCTCGTTTCGCCGCGGCCGCTTCCAGACCCTTTTCCACTGACGTTTTCTTCACCCCTTCCCGTGCCGGTCGATTCGTTTTTGGTAAAAGAGGGCCCACTCTGGCTTTCGGATTCCACGCTTCATCGATTTGACTCTTTGCCTTAGGTTTAAAGATATAATCTTCGTCGTCAGAAGCGTCTAAAGCTGGATAAACTATAAATAACATAAATTTAGTAATATTATCGCAAGAAAAAGATATCGATTTGAAGTATTCCTTTGCTGTATACATACTAAAATCATCATCTTGGTGAACCTTGTCGATATTTTCTATCGATTGATCATCATCGTCATCGTCATCGTTTTGTTGGCTCTTGGTAGATCTTGAAGATTTTGCAAGATTACTCGTTGTCGAGTAACTTTGCTGGCTAAACGATAACATCCCGGCGATAGCCTCCCGCGTGGACGGTGACGCCCTGTCGGAACTGATCGTTTTCAATTTATAAATACTAAGACACCAAAAAATCAAATTCATTCCTCTGTGCGGTTAAAAACTACAATAATCTCTCAATAAACATTCAATTTAAAATAAAGATCTTTTACACATGCTCGGAAAAAGAAAAGCCATATATCTATACTGTATAATAACTCTATTGTATTACAAATTACTTCTAATAAAAATAAACTTAGAATAAACCTAGAAGTGTGAAAAGAGAGAGAAAGTAATAGAGCTATAGAAGTATAATAGATATATATATATATAATAGTAATAGTAATATATAATAATAATAAAGTTACAACAATTTATACTATGCAAATGTTCGCTAAAACTTTTTATCAAGCACTCTACCTGAGATTAACAAGAACAGTTGTACATGTGACAAACTACAAAGTTTAGTATGAAAACAGAGTTTTATATTGAATTAACTTACCCAGTGGGAGGTGGCATGGATTGACTGTACTGCTGTATTATAGACGATGGCCTGAAATTATTTTTCGTTGCAGTCATTGCGATGCAATAAGAATTTGTGTATGTTTAAATTATACGTACGTAACGTCTATCCTTTGAGCGCCGTTTCCAAGAGTATACGCCGACGCTTTCAACAATTCCTCTATACCATTCTTCGGCGCGTCGTTTAGCACATCGACGTCGCCGTCGTAATCGCGTTTAAATCGTTTCTGCGCGTTCGACTTCGGCGCCCGTTTCCGTTTTTGCGACTCGTCTATAACGAGACCATATTCGCTCTCATTGCTGCCGTCGTGAAAATCGTACACGGACGATGTCTGATTCCACGAAAGCGGTTCCTTCGCTGTTCGGAGAGCTGTGTGATCGGTCGTAATATTACCACCATGAACGTTTATACTATCGTTCGTACTTCTGACAACCTCGTTGTTGCCAAGTTTAAATCTAATTACGGTAGGGCTCTGTTTTCCTGGCTTGGATAATTGTCGTTTATTGCTATTGACGGGTTTGTTCGTCGCGGTCGCTTTAACATCGGGAAACATGATGGGTTTCGGTAATGTAAGTTTTAACGGAGGCCTTGATAACGGCTGTTCCATCAAAGTATGTTCCACTTTATTCGTTTCCTTCAATGTCGCTTTAAAAGCATTATCAGCAATCTTATCGGCGTAATCGAAGTCTACGAAATCTTTGTTCAATGGCTTTTTCTTCTTTCGTTTACTTTCACGTTCCGGTTTTGGCGGATTTAGGGATATTAAGTACCTTTCCGCGTGTCGTATCTCTTTGCTAAGATCCTTCAATAATTTCTGGCTATTTATCGTTTCTGGTATTTGACCGCGACTAATCATACTATACTGAAATTATACGTTGGTTTTTATTTTATCTTTTCCAATTTTGATTTTTACGTTTTTTTTTCATTTAAAATTGAATGTATAAAACACCAACTTACATCCTTATCTGTGTTCCACTGCTTGAGAATCCCAAGCAACGCCTTCACACCTTGTAAAAAATATGATGGACATTTCTTCCCCTCGTTATTCATAATAATAAAGTTACAACAATTTATACTATGCAAATGTTCGCTAAAACTTTTTATCAAGCACTCTACCTGAGATTAACAAGAACAGTTGTACATGTGACAAACTACAAAGTTTAGTATGAAAACAGAGTTTTATATTGAATTAACTTACCCAGTGGGAGGTGGCATGGATTGACTGTACTGCTGTATTATAGACGATGGCCTGAAATTATTTTTCGTTGCAGTCATTGCGATGCAATAAGAATTTGTGTATGTTTAAATTATACGTACGTAACGTCTATCCTTTGAGCGCCGTTTCCAAGAGTATACGCCGACGCTTTCAACAATTCCTCTATACCATTCTTCGGCGCGTCGTTTAGCACATCGACGTCGCCGTCGTAATCGCGTTTAAATCGTTTCTGCGCGTTCGACTTCGGCGCCCGTTTCCGTTTTTGCGACTCGTCTATAACGAGACCATATTCGCTCTCATTGCTGCCGTCGTGAAAATCGTACACGGACGATGTCTGATTCCACGAAAGCGGTTCCTTCGCTGTTCGGAGAGCTGTGTGATCGGTCGTAATATTACCACCATGAACGTTTATACTATCGTTCGTACTTCTGACAACCTCGTTGTTGCCAAGTTTAAATCTAATTACGGTAGGGCTCTGTTTTCCTGGCTTGGATAATTGTCGTTTATTGCTATTGACGGGTTTGTTCGTCGCGGTCGCTTTAACATCGGGAAACATGATGGGTTTCGGTAATGTAAGTTTTAACGGAGGCCTTGATAACGGCTGTTCCATCAAAGTATGTTCCACTTTATTCGTTTCCTTCAATGTCGCTTTAAAAGCATTATCAGCAATCTTATCGGCGTAATCGAAGTCTACGAAATCTTTGTTCAATGGCTTTTTCTTCTTTCGTTTACTTTCACGTTCCGGTTTTGGCGGATTTAGGGATATTAAGTACCTTTCCGCGTGTCGTATCTCTTTGCTAAGATCCTTCAATAATTTCTGGCTATTTATCGTTTCTGGTATTTGACCGCGACTAATCATACTATACTGAAATTATACGTTGGTTTTTATTTTATCTTTTCCAATTTTGATTTTTACGTTTTTTTTTCATTTAAAATTGAATGTATAAAACACCAACTTACATCCTTATCTGTGTTCCACTGCTTGAGAATCCCAAGCAACGCCTTCACACCTTGTAAAAAATATGATGGACATTTCTTCCCCTCGTTATTCAATTCTTTCAATTCTTTGAGCAATTTCTTAGCCGCAAACCAATTAATTGTTTCAAAGCCAGGATACTGAAACTTTGTTGGAGTCTTCATCTTCCTTTCTAATTCATATATTCTACAAAATAGTGCACAATTTCATTACCAAATAAATAATAAATATTTTTTAATTTAGATAACTGATATCTAGAGAAATTCTTCACTACTCACTGTATTTGCATCGGAATATTAAGACTGTGCACAAAATTTCCACCGAAAACCAAAGAATCCACCGGTGTAAGTACTGCGTGTATCCAACCTGTGGGAATCATCATTGTTTGACCCTGTTTAATCACGCACTTGTAACACGCATCAGCCTGATCCCCGAAAAAAGTTTCGCTCTGTGTTGAGCTGCACATCCAATGCTGATATAATTGCAAATTCGCCGGTGTCGGTTTGATGAGATAGAAAACTTTTTCACCGCGCAACACGTGATACCACACAGATGTGCCGCCAAAGTCAATGTGAAAGTCTGTAAAACTGTCTTTGACCCCCATTAAACAATACTTTTGTACTTCGGGTCGCTTTATATCACTGTCCTCGGGCCAATCGCGCGGCCATACCGAATTAACCCAGTCGAGTTTGCGCGCGATGTACGGTGCTTCAACCATTGGTGAAAGACTGCAATTGTTTGATTTGTCAATTTAGACACATATGTTCTAGAAAACATGTACAAAGCCATATATATGGCAAAGCAATGAATATTGATATACCCAGTATTAGTAAATTCAAGACTTATGACATTTAATACTCTTGTACGAGAGGGGGAGTTGTAATATTCTACAAAGTCTCTTAATTTCATACGTATGTTGCTTTGTCTAGTAACATCGATTACATCCATGTCCCGATCACCACCTGAGAATAAGTCAATTATATATGTTGTGATAATATCGTGTAGTGATAAATGAAATAACCATTATATTTAATCCAAAAATCTTTATGCCTGCTATCTTACCTATATAAGTCTCAACATCATAAACGCTAAAACTCAAAGGAGGTATGGTTATATCAAGTCCATCTTTCCCATCAATGATAATAGGAGTTTCAAATCCATTTGTCTGTAAATACTGAAGAGTTAAGTGTTGTCCTTTCACATGCTTCACAATTTCATCAGCTTTGGGAAAGTGTCTAGATTTCAGTTCTCGTATAAATACAGGAGTTCCAGTTTGAACAGGTTTTGTATCTGCATCGCGTTCAGTATAATCGTGTCTATGCCAGTTCATCCTAGTCTTCACTGTAAAATGAGATAAATATTAATAAAAATATAAATTTCATTTGAAAATATGCATAAAATGTTTAACTCAATAGCCTTACTGAGAGAAGGGCCGCACATAGCTTCGCATCGTGGACAGTGGTACTTATCAAGATCTGTAGTCATGTATTCCTTCAAAGCCACGCATCTAAAAGAACAAAACAACAATATGTGACACATCATTCAGAAATTTAAAAAATTTACAATTGCGATACATTATATACAAAAATTTAAAAATCACGATATATATATATATATATATATATATATAAATGAGCGTTTCAATCAAACATAGTAACTCATAGCTACTCCTATTATTCCCATTGTATCATGTATCTGCTAATAACGTGAAAAAGGCGCTGGACATGGAAGGCCAATGACGCTTAGTGCAGGTTATGTTACTATCAACAAAACATTGTTTGTAACACGTATGCCAGCGAATTCGCGCCGTGCTTCGTGTTCACGATTGAGCACGTGCGTGCGAGCGTTCTCGCAGGCGTAATTCGGCGCGGAAAAGCGTCGGGATTGTGAAAGAAAAATAGTGCCGCGATCGTCGAACGTCGTCGCGTCGTAGACGCCGAGCTTTACACGCGTATTTTAAGCTCGTGAACGCTTACCCGCCGTGGTACCATTCCTTGCACACGTCACACTGTATCATAAATTGTTGAGGATCGTATGAACGACCGCAAAAACAGTATGTAATTGACAACTCCATTTTTTTAGTGGTTAGCAATATTGAATACAATTCCCCCGTAACACACACACACATTCACACACATACACGATTTCGTCAACTGCCGTCAACAACTGGGGGCTGGGGGCTGGGGGCTGGGGGCTGGAGGCGATAGAGCGTGACATAAGCAAAGAGGAGAACGGCCATCTCGGTCTTTCGTTAAATCCCTTGTACAGTAACGCCATCACTGTGGAAACTGGAAATTCACTATTTATTACTAGACTTACTAGATCTTAGCCTCATTTTAGCGTTGCGTTCTAAAAATCCACTCGAATATTATTTCATTGACTAATTAAAACGAAGAAATCTTTGCTCCGTTTGTCCTAATTGGTCAATCAAATACTTCTAATTCCGACGAATAAATTTTTCGAACACAGTTCTGAAATTCTTCCCTCCCTTTACTCCGAGAATCGAAGAATAACAATAATACCGAGAATACATCGTCGTACTTTGTCCCAGAAGAGGACGGAAATCCATAGAGAAAGAAAGAACACCGAAAATTTCATGGAACGTGGAGCGTTAGATTAGATTTTTGCCTACACGTGTGTAGTGTATAAAAATTCATAAGTACAAATAGATAAATATTCTTCTTTATTAATGAGGGTTAAACATAATAAACGGATAAAGGAAAAGAGAGCTAAGTTGAAAAAAATTAAAACGTAAGTAAAATGATTCAAGGTCACGTGAATAAAGATATTAATTCCTTCGCTGTGTTCACATGATTGTATAATATATTTAAAATATAGAGTATACACATAACATTATTTAAAATATTATTGTTGAATATTATTCCATAATCTTACTTTTGATTTTATAGACAACTGACAACAGGAAAGGTAATGAAACATTCTGTCAGGAAAAGTGAATCTATGTTTGCTTGCAAAGATACTACTATAAATTTGGTAGATAATATGGATATTGATAATGCCCAGAGTATTCCTTCAGGTAAGTCAGTTTGTCCTACAGAGGAAGCAATCGTACAATTTACTTTCAAACGTAGAAAAAAAATTAGATAGTGAAGTAACTATCGACGAATCATGCGACTTTCAATGTAAAAACAGAATTTTTTTTATTTACATTATCATATCAATTTGGTTTTATATATCATTTGGTTGTATACGTATCTCAGTTAAATAGAAAATTATCTATCATTACGTCTAATTAATATTTTTCTTAAGTTTACATAATTATAATTGCACATAATTTTATTTGAATTCCAGATTCCACGGTTGATACCATAAAATGGAATAGTTCTCAGGAAGAGATAGATAAGAAGATAGACAATGATTGGAAACTGGATAATTCCGAGAAAGAGACGGAAGAAGACATAGATGATTGGACTCAAATTACTCCAAAAGAAAAAAGAAATATTGAATCACCATTTGTGATTGAAATGCAATCAGATGATGTGTCACTAAATCTACCAGAGATATTTAAACAAGAGCAAAAAACAAAAAACACGAAAACATTTTACAACGGCATCTTTGAAATAGATGCACCATCCAATGAAGCGAGCATTATAGTCGCTAAACCTATAAGTCTTAAGCATAACACTCATATGCAAATGCAAACATCATCTATGCTACCAAATACAAGTGAAAAGGAAGATAAAAGTGAAAATAAATTACAAAATATTAGCATCAATAATATGACCAACCCTAAGAAAAATTCTACATGTAAAAAACGCGTCAGAAATAGAAAATCTGTAAATTGTAATACAGAAAAGTTAGAGAAGAGCCCCCATAAAAATCACAAACATAAGCCCACACGGAACAAAAAGACACCAGAATTTTATTGCATAAGAAACATAGTCATTGTTATAATGAAAAGCGAGAGCAGATTATGTTTCACTGGCAAGCTGTTGGTAAAAGTGTTATATGGTACTGTGCAAATTTACGGATACATATTAAATAAGTCGACCAATACCATGGAAGTGTATTCTCCGCGAGGATACAGTAATATTGCTATAGAAACGAGCAAGGTACATTCCGAAGATAGCAATATCGATGATATCTGGACAGCACTCGCCGCGGAAGGTATCACTCGAGATTCGGAGAGTAAACTGCAAGCCGACATCGATAATGTTCGACCAGGAGACGCCGTCCTCGTGTTGCAGAATTTCGAAAACAATCTGACGATTTTTCTGAAAACTTATTTCCCATATTTCAGATTATTTCCGGATATAAATAATTCCTGCTATTATCCTTGGACAGACCCCAAGCGAGCTGAGATAATATTGCAAGCCGATTTGCATTTCGAGCAATACAACGATTCCAACTGTAAACGATTGATCACTGATCCGTGTATCACCGATATCGCTCAGAAAATGTTGAGTCGCACGCACGCGAACGAATGGTCCTGCACATTGATCGCTGGCGGGAAAAGCGTCGGCAAGTCCACCAGCGTGCGATATTTGATCAACAGTCTGTTGCACACGTGTGCAAAGGTGGTCCTAGTGGACGTAGATCCCGGTCAGGCGGAGTGCACGCCGTCCACCTGTATCTCGTACAGTTTGATCGAGGAACCGCTAATGGGGCCAAATTTCACGCATTTGAAAACACCGGTTTATCAGCTGTTCATCGACGACGTGAATGTCTCTCATTGCGTCACGCGCTACCTGGAGGGTGTTAAGATGCTGATCGAGAGACTAAAGGAGAATCCTGAACTATCCCGTTTACCTGTCGTGGTAAACACGATGGGTTTCACGCAAAATCTAGGTTGGGATATCGCGATTTTTACGATAAAACTCATCAGACCGTCGATTATCATGCAGATTATGTCATCGAAAAAAAAGAATAATTACGATAATATCTTCAGTGCAGAAGTCGTAAATAAACAGGTAACCAATTTTTTTTAGAAATAATAGATATACTTTTGTTCTTCGAATTCTTAAAAGAGGACCTTCATATAGGAATGCTCGTGGACGTTTTGGTATGAGAGATTTATTGATTGGGACAGGCCGTGCGAGCACGATTTGTGTGTAATTCAATCTCAGGCCGAAGGCAGAATAATGCAAACGACCAAGGATCAAGGACCAAACCAGTGGAATATGGAACCGTATCAGCAACGCGAGCTCGTGATGATGTCTTATCTCAGCGATATCGTACGCGGCAATGATAATTCTCTGTAAATTCTATGTTGTCTTTCATAATGGTTTGTTTTTAATAATCTCATGTCAATTTTTAATTTTAACATTTGCTATTTCAGTCACTACCACATAAGAACGTCGCACAGTATCAACCAAGCAGTGCCATATACGTCAGTATTTATATTTCATTATATTACAAAATAACATGCGAGCGTTAAACAGAAATATAAATCTGTCCTGGTATGTGTTTACAGAACGCCTTTCTCTTCGCTGTGCATTATTCCTCAGCGATCGTTGGGTATACCAACGTCACATGCATTGAGCATTATAAATGGTAATATTGTAGCGCTGTGTGGTATAGATTTAACGGAGGAATCTTCGCAGAAGTCGGCGAATATCTCCAATCTTCGAGTATTGACGCAAAGATCGCCCTTATGCACATGTTACGGCTTCGGTAAGTACCGATTTGTCTGCTCAAATTTTTCTCAACAGATATTTTGCATAATTCGCGTATAATTATATAGGGATAGTTCGAGGTGTCGATATGAAACAACAGCAAGTGTACATAAACACGCCATTGCCGATATCGATCATGCAGCATATTAACTGCTTAGCGGGCTGTATTCGCGTTCCTCCGATGCTGTTACAGTTATATCCAGGTGCACCTTACGTCAGTGGAAATGGAACATTACCGACGAGTCGCGAACCACGTAAAGGATATTTTCGGATGAGATATAAAAAAAAACAGAGTCCTAATAAATTCTAATAATAAAACATATGTATAAGTATATATACTATACAACTTGGCATCTTCTAAATATTCATCAATTGATTTTCCATTGGAGATGGACACGGAAAAAGAATGTTTTATGAATATAACATAGTTGTAAATATATTTTTTATATATATATATGTATATATATATATATATATTGTTGCGGAAGAAATAAATATATTTTTTATATATATATATATGTATATATATATATATATATTGTTGCGGACAACTTTTGCAACATAAAAAGACCAATATCAAACGACGCATAGAATTTAGTATATATATAAATGTACAAGTTTCTTTTGCGTCTGATGATTGACAAATAACGTATATATATATATCATTGACAAATAACATTTATATATATATGTAAATGTAATTGTTTATTACGTCTGATCATTGACGAAATATTGAATAAAAAAGATGTATATATATGTAAGAAATAAAATTTTTGGTTATATAAAATTGTCTACACATCATGCAAATATCTATCTATAGATAAACTATATCAAAGTTTTAACATAAAACAGAATGCATTCCTGATTATAATGATTGTTTGCCCGCAACCAAAATTTTGCTAAAAATGTTTACAGAGGTAAAATGTCTTCATGCAAAGTAGAAATATTGTTGCTCATCTCGTCTTCATTGCACTTAAAGTAGAAACATAAAGGTCGCAATATGGCAGTAAGTGTTTGCACGCTCCAAGACTTGCCGAGCAATTTCTGCCGATTTGTGGCCGACAAATTCTTTACATCCGTATAATGTCGCGGAAAACCAAAGATCTCTTCAAGCTCGGTGATCCACAGCCTATCACTTTCACCTTTCATCATGATTGGTTTCGCTTCCGCTTTTCCTAGAATAAAAGGGAATCTTAACGAATTTTTTTTCCGATATAAAAATTTTTCAACAAAGAAATCCGCGCGACACGTACCTTGTAGCAGGGAACCTGTTCTGCTTGTAACTGTGCGCAGTTTCTTGCAAAGAGCCTTACGA